TTCCTGGTCCAGCATCTGAGAGAGCCCTGGAAGCCTTCCGTGACTGTGGGATGAGGAAGCCAGACCTTGGTTGTGCTCCGGAATTCATGAGCTGTCTGGAAATCAGAAGCCCCCCTTACTGCACAGCGGGCTGGCCAATGTCAAGCAGCTCCACTTCTAATCTGCTTCATTTCATATTCTCTGCAGAGGGCTTAGAAGCACAATTTAATTTTGGCCTCTCTGGGTGTGTTAAAAGTGTTCGTGTTAATTTGTTCATATGCTCCCGGATGCTTGGACACGTGCTGTGTTAGCTTCTTGCAGCGGAAAACTCAGACCTCCGTACGGCTTCGTTGGATTCTGCAGGCTCTGGTGTGTCAGTCCATCTAAATAAATGCTGCTTTTAGTTTTTCCAATTTACCGAACCATGTGATTCATGCTCCCAGTGCAATCAGGAAGCAATTCATTTGTCTTTCTGATCCCTGTCTTATTTCACATGTTTATATGGCATACTTACTGCCTTGACTGTGAAAGAAAACATCAAATAAATCTTGGCAGTTTGATTTTCCTTTTCTTGAAGTGGTCTTTTCTACTTTGCTTCCAGCTTTTAAAGCTTTGTTGGAAATTAGAAACTTAAAGCCTTCGCGTTCTGAGTCGTGTGTCCACCTCGTGTGTAGACCTGCCTGCTAGTGGCCGGAGCCCAGCAGGACCATTTCAGAGAGCCGCCTTCGGGCATCTCAGTGAGGGTGACCTTCAGTTCACCTCCAGAAACACTGGCTGCTGCTGAAAGAGAGGAAGTCCCTGGGTTCGTCTTGGGATGGAGCATCTCTGGACTGGGGAGTCTCGTTTCCACAGCAACGCTGACTCGCTGACTCCGCAGTAGTAACACGGGTCGGTCCTCCCTTGGCCAACGGTCATCAGGAGCAGGAAAACAGGTTTTCCTGCAGCTCAATTCCTGATGTGGTTCTCACAGCTGGCCCGCCACAGCCAATTTCTAGCTGCTCCTTGGTTCCGTATCATCGGCTAGTTTCCTTTCCATATTAACCCGAATACTTTGACACTTAAAAGAATTG